TTTTGATTACACCTTTGCCAAGAGCCAAATGGGCAACTTTCTGGCCCAGATCTTGTAGTGAGAAAGGATAAGCCATCAGCAGAAAACTCCTAGGACTAGAAGCTACGGAACATCTTTACATTGGTGACTGAGCATCTACTTAGATTCCAAAGCATTGTACAAGTCATTGGGAATATAGAGGAGCACATGGAATAGTCTCCGCCTTCAAGGAGCTTACAGCCTTTTGGAGAAAAATTGCCACGTATAAAAAACAAACAGTAAATAAATAGAAGAGAAGAGACAAATCTCCCTCAGAGAAGAATTCCTAATAATTTACGTAGCTACTCCGCCCTCAAGGAGGTTGAACGTAACTCCCTACTCCTTAGGTGCGGGCTGAACATAGTGACGTCCTTCCAAAGAGGACAGCATGGAAACAGGGAGCAAAAGAGTAACTTTACAGCAGAGAAACCCGACAACCACCACCTCAGCCAGGTGTCCAAAGTCACCATCAACAGTGATGAGTCATGTGCGAGTATGTACCCTTGATATGATGTGATGAGAATGTTCCTTCACCTCTGTGGTCCTCCTCCAAACCCATAACCCCAGTCTAACAATGAGAAAAACATCAGACAAATCCCAGCTGAGGGACGTTGAACAAAATACCTGACCAGGACTCTTCAAAACTGTCAAGGTCATCAAAATAAGGACAATCTGAGACAGTGTCACAGCCAAGAAGAGTCTAAGAAGACATACTGACTAAATGTGATGTGGTATCCTGGATGAGATCCCAGAGCAGAAAGAGGACATTAGGAAATCTGAGGAACTCTGAATAAAGTATGGGCTTTAGTTCATAAAACTGTAGCAGTATTGGTTCATTAACTGTGAGAACCGTACCGTTCTAATGTAAGATGCCAATAACAGGGGAAACTGGGTGTGGGTAAATGAGAACTCTGTACTATCTTATCGATTTTTCTGTAAACCTAAAACTGTTCTAAAATAAAAAGTTTTTAAAAATCAATACAATGTAGCAAATGACAAGACAGAATAGGATTGATTCATTCATTCAACAAATACTTCTTGAGGACCTACTATGCGCTAGACACTTCACTGGGGTCTGGGGTACAGCAACCAGCAAACAGAGCAAGATCCTTGACCTTGAGGAGCTTACCTGGGATGTGTGCTGGGCCTTGTAGAACTAATTGATGTTCTCTGTCAGCTTTCTTCACTTAGGAGGGAAGGACCAGTGGCATACCAGTGGCAATGTGACTGCCATTACTTCTTGTTAAATAAGGGGCAAACATGACCCAGGCCATAGCTTACCAGTGAGAGGTAAATAGAAAGAGACCTTGCATAAAAAAGGATGGGTCCTGGGACGCTGGGAGCCAGCTGGCACAGACAGTGTTTCCTGAGGCCTTCCAAACCCCAGAAAACAGCACAGCTCTTGAAGCCTATATACGCCCAGGGAGCATTCACCCAGTCACAGAATGTGGCCAGTAGAAGGTCCCTTCCAATTGCTTGGTCTAAGCCCCTTCACTTTACAGGAAAGGAAACTGAGGCCCCGGAAAAGAAAGTGATTGCAGTGGTCATAGGGTTCTCTCTGAATCAATTTTTTAATTTTCACTTCTCAGAGGCTGTGGGTATTTATTCTGTTGTTAGAAATCATCAAAACTGAAAGGCTAGACATACATACTTGCTTAGTATTAGATGTGAGCAATGGAAAAGAATCAAGAAAACTAGACCTAGAATAAACATCAATGTGGGTTAAATAACTCACAGGTGACAGGAGCTTCCACACTGATGATGTTCTACAGCTAATTGCAGAAACTGATGGGACACTGCAGGACAAACGTACACGTGCTAAAGGGAACAAACTGGTTTTAAGGTCACTGCAACCGAAATAAAACCAAGTGACTATGTATTGCGTTAGCTAAAAACAGTTTGCAGGGGAGCTTAAATGATATGGGAGTGGGGCAGGACTGACATTCCTTTAAAAAATAAAACACCAACAACAAAAACATAAAAACTTCAGGGTAACGCCAGATTCATACTTAGGTAAAAACAGAACAGAGAGAGGACCTATAAACTAGGGGCTTATCTATGTAGGGGATGAGCCAAGTCCAATCAGACAACCATGCTGTTCTTGAGCAAGTCTGTTAGGGCTGTCCGCAGCATCCTGGAGCCTGAAGATGCCACGTAGGTGTCAGCTGTAGAGACAGCTCACTCCCTTAACAAAGCCAGTCCATTCTGCACAAAGTTAGAAATGAGACCAGACAGCACACTCAGGGAAAATCACTTTTGAAACTGACTTTTCAACCTTTCTGTTACGGATTGTTTTTAAACAACCATCAGGCCAGAAGATGCTTCCAGGTTTTATCAGGGGAACATAGTAGGCACATTTAAGGTGGAATCTTAATGAAAAGATAATGAAAGAAGAATGAAAAATTAGAATTATTAGCTTAACCTCTAACATTGAGTTCAGTGTTGGGCCCTATGGGCAGCACATCAGAATCACTTGGAGAGCTTTAAAAATTCGAATGCCCTGGCCCCAGCCAGTATCATTAGACTCTCTGCATAGGACTCTGGCTTTTTAGTACTTTTTAAAGTTCCCCAGCCGATTCCATTGTGCAGCCCAGTTAGGAATCCATTGCTCTACAGCGAGTTAGTCTAAATTTTGAATATCAAATACTGTTAATTAAAGGTGGATAAACTAACCAGGAATTCTAGGAGTACAATACCCTGGAATGTCACTCAATTCAATACAAAACGACTATTTTAACAAGTAGTCTTTTTAAGTCAGATGTACCCAGATTTCTTTGACTTTCCCTCTCTTCTTCAGGTATTTCCATAGCAGAAGCAATTATCTCTTAAGTTCAGATATTTTCCCCTCAGTATACTTTGGTGAGTATGAGCTACAAACTAAGAGAGAATGAGAAATCACATCCCCTCTCACCAACCCTCCTTGGTCGGCCTTTCAAAATAGAAAAATAAATCAAGACCAACTTCTCTTAAATGTTTCAAAACAAAATAATTAAAATGTATCTTTGGGTAAACAACCATGAAACTCAATGAGGTATTTCCTTTATTTTTTAATAGTCGCAGACTCGGGGTCAGTCATGGAAACAGCTGCATAGTTTTGACTCTGCCAAACGGCTCAGTGAAATGACATCACTGGAGGGCTGCCCTGCGGGAGTTCTGAACAGCACACCCCCCTTCGGCCAACTGGGCACCTGCCTGCTGAGCTGTGGAGTGGTAGCTTTTTTCCAGGAGGTGAACGCTCCCTAATTATATAGCATCGTGACAATTTGCCCAGCCTAATTGGAGGAGGTTATCCAACCCTGATTGAGGACACTCAATAAACAAGAATAAAAAAGACAGCTTTAATCGTCCCGAAGGCTTGAAAGTTCTCCCAAGGAAAACATCAGGGGCAGTGGCTACATTACTGGTTTTCTAAGAAAAGAGCAACTCTCTACCACGGAAGGGATTAAATCTTTAAAGCAGACATGAAAATAAGAATTAAAAACCTTCCAGCCCACAAATGTTATTTAATTAGTCTTTCTCTCCAGAAGAGAAATGTATGGGAACACAATTCAGCAATAAAAAGGAAGTACCCACACATGCTACAATATGCATAAACCTCAAAAACATTAAGCTTAGTAACAGAAGCCATATATTGTATCGTTTCATTTATATGAAATGTCAATAAAAGGCAAATCTATACAGACAGGAAGCAGATTAGTGTTACCTAGGGCTCAGGGTGGGAATGGGGATTGACTGCCAACAGCTGGAAGGGATTCTTTTGGGGGTGATGGAAATGTTCTAAAATTGGATTGTAGTGATGATTGTACAACTCTGTAAACTCCCTAAAAATCACGGAATGGTACACTTAAAAAGCATGGATTTTATGGCACACAAATTATTGGTTATTCTTTGGACCTAAATAAAATCTTATTCTTTGGATTAAAGAAAACTTTGAAAAAACGATCTAGTGCCACTTCTGGGTTTGGGGGTGCTTCCTCAGCTGCCGTGCAGATCATTTGTCCGTCACTTACACTCCCTGTGAATTCTGCTCTTTCTCCCATTTCCATCTGTAAAAAGTTACCGGGATGAGAAACGGAGGAGAGGGAGACCACATTACCAAATCTGAGATTCTGTGCAATCACAACGGACACCAGGTCTGGGAATCTGGAAAGGCAATCAAGCATAAATCTCTCCTGATCTAGAAAAAAAGAAAAGGAAAATGTGATGAGGGGCCCGGGCCGCATCACCAGCGTAGCCCTCCCCATCACAGTGAAGGGAGCGGGCTGGGGAAGATCCGACTCCAGCAGAAGCCGAGTCGGAAGGCTGGATCCCAAGGTCCAAAGAATGACCAATCAATTCACAGGGTTTCCAACAAACCCAGGGCATGCGGTTATCAAACCCAGGCTGGCTTTACTTTACAGGTGGTGACCCTATTCCAACAGGAGCACGGAGGCGGGAAGTTCTGTTCCGAGGCCGCGTGGACCCGGTATCTCTCCGGAGCCCACGGCCGCGCCCTCGGCCCCTCGGCGGGGGCAGAGGCCGGTGCACGCCGTCGGGCCCGTCCGTCTCTCCCAGCCCGGGAGCGGGGCAGCCTCCCCGCCCGGCGCCCCGGGC